AAGTACTTACCCTTCTAAATTCTGCCTCATAGTTCACAGTATTGCAGACCAGACTTTGGGGGGCATGTATCAGTTTAATTCTACCACAATCCCAAACCATATTTATAGGCAGAGGCTGCTTATTTGTTTTCTGGCTGCCCTGACCCAAAATAATCACACAAAAACTGTATTAATCGCAATACTGTTTGGCCAATAGCTTACACATATTTCTAGTTAACCCTTACATCTTAAATTAACAGATTTGTATTATTCTGTGTATTACAACAAAGTCATGGCCTACCAGCACGGTTCCAGTGGGCTCCAGAACATCTTTCTCCTTTGGCAGCTACATGGTGCCTCCCTGACTCTGCCTTCTCTCTCCCTCTACATCCCAGATTTCCTGCCTGGATTTACTCTGTTAAGCCATTAGCCAAAAGCAGCTTCTTTATTAACCAAAGGTAATAAAATATATTCATAACATCTATCACCTCCCATATTACATACCTCTCTATATTGACTAACTTTGAATTGATATGGGTATGTTTAGAAGTAAAACCAAACTCCTCACACTTGTGGGTACAATTTAACATTATTTGGGGCAATTAACCTGCTGGAAACTGACTGATCGCTTATGCAGAAAACCCCAACTCTAAAATCACTTGCTAACATAGATGAGCTGTATCTGGAGTAAGTGCATCCCCTAGTGGCATGGGATGGTACTACAATGATATGAGAAATTGGCTCAACTAACCTGCCAATGGAAAAAAAAATAACAATAATCAAGATACTATCATAAGCATCTAGTGTAATGGATCAGGTATAAAAATATACAGTGATTAATGTTTATCAACAGTCAATCCTGAACTCAAAGAATAGGATTTCATTTATACAACCCAATTGTCTTGAAAGACACTTGATACATTCAGACTTAGGCTACATTCTGGGTCGCTACAATCACAAGAATGTACCAATCAGAATGGGGTTATATACCTATTATAAATACCCCCAAAGTACCCGATGTAGGACTGCATATTGAATGGACTTCTGATGGCTCTCTTATCATGCAAAGTAAGGATTGCATGCCCCTGATAGAGTAGAGAGCCTTGGCCAAGAGTTTATACATCAGGCATGTGGTTCTGTGACATTCACCATCTAAACCTGGGATTCTCAGATTCAGCACCTTTACGCATTGATCAGTGTGGTCAAAGTCAAAAGCTAACATCAAACTTCTTTGACTGTACTGTCATAGGGTAACATCCTGGTAGCTACTCCAAGTCACCACACAGGACTAGATTTGTCTTACTGCATTCTACAGATGAGCCTATAATAACTTATAAACAAAGACCTAGTGTGCCTAATAAAAAGAAAATGTCTTTGTAGAAGTCTTTTGGATAGGAATTTAACTATAATAATTTAATTACTAAAGTGATAACTGCATTTTGCAGAATGGTAGATTGAATTTCAGGAGATAAATTATGTTATATATAAGGTATATTAACTTATAATTCAAATATTTTTTGATAAAAATTGCTATTTGAAAATCTGTGGTACTGCTGAGGAGCTTTTCCCAGAGAGATCCTTCGTCTGGCAATGGATGGAGATAGGGACGGGGACCCACGTTGGAACACTGGACTTAACTCCCTAGGCCCAAGCGAGAAGCAGAAGGAAGAAGAACGTGAGCAGGGAGGGCAAGATCAGAGGGAACCTTCATCCAGCGATGGATGGCGATGCAGACGGAGACCCACATTGGAGCACCGGACTGAGCCCCCCAAGGTCCAAAGGAGGAGCAGAAGGAGGAAGAACATGAAAAAGAAAATCAGAACCGCAAGGGGAGCGATCACCCACTGATACAAGGGGACTGATCTAATGAGAGTTCACCAAGGCCAATTGACTGGGACTGAAGGAGCATGTGATCCAACCAGATTCTCTGGAAGAGGCTGGATTCCCTGAATGTGGCTGGCCCGAAGTCTTTCTAAAAAGCCATTGACAATGACTCTGGGACTTGTTTCCTCTGCATGTTCTGGATTTTTGGAGATTCAGTCTGTTTGGATACTCACCTTCCTGGTCCTGGAGGGAGCGGGGAGGAACTTGAACTTCCCACAGGGCAGGAAACCCTGACTGCTCTTAGGGATGGAGAGGGAAGACGAGAGGGAGTGGGGGGAGTGGGAGGGTGTTGGGAGGAGGGGCAAAAATGGAAACTTTTATATTTTAATAAAAAAAGAAAATCTGTTATAGATATTGGTAACCAGTTTACTATCATTAAAACAGATCATAAGGATAATAAGGAATTAACAAGAATAGAAGGAATAAGTCAGGATTGAGAATGCATACAAGCAGTCTGCATACATATCAAATTGTGGGATTAGAGACCCCAGTGCCACTGATGATTACTCTCACATGATATCCCATAATGAATAATAGTAATGAACTTAGTACTACTAATTTTAGGACACATAACTCCCAATCAAAAAGAAAAAAAAAGACAATGTTTTACAAGGCACTCTCATGACAGCTTTTAAAACAGGAAGCTGTGGAATCCCATGGTGCTCCTCCTAGCTTTGCCAAGCAATGTCCTATAAAAGGAGCACATGAAGACATAACTGAAGAGATGAATGAATTACCAAGGGAAACCATGAGACTGTCCATCTCAGATAATTATCACTCACCAGTACGGCTAATCATGAAACCATGAGGAGACTACAGGTTTACATTAGACTTTACAAAATTAACAAAATTTCTTCCACCATACCTGGAGCATCACCTAACTCTAAGGAATGTGTAAATAAAATACCAGCTGTAAATGCCTAATAATTTCGAACTATAGATGTGGACAATGTGTTTCCATAAAGATGATCTGTAAACTCTAAAATGTCTCTGTAAGTCTCAAAGTAGGTTTTCAAAATGACAATTTAAAAATACTTAGGGTTTTCTTGCTGGGCGCTGGTGGTGCACGCCTTTAATCCCAGTACTTGGGAGGCAGAGGCAGGTGCAACTCTGTGAGATCGAGGTCAGCTTGGTCTACAAGAGCTAGTTCTAGGACAGGCTCTGAAACTACAGCGAAATCCTGTCTTGAAAAAACCAAACCAAACCAAACCAAACCAAACCAAACCAAACCAAACCAAAAAAATACTTAGGATTTTCTCTTGCATAGACCTGGTTTAATAAGAATCCTGAAAAACCTGCCTGTTTACTTGTTTTTATTTTTATTTTTTTGCTTGTTTTAAAGGGATAGTAGTTACCTGGGACTCTTGTCTCTTTCCTACCTCCTGGCGGATAGCTAAATAATCTTCATCAGGTTCATCTTCTTATTTAGCTTCTCTAGGATCACGAATAATAGGCTCAAAGACCTTTAATTATGGTTAGAATCCACTTATGAGTGAATACATACCGTGTTCCTCTTTTTGGGTCTGGCTTACCTCACTCAGTAAAGCGTTTTCTATTTCCATTCATTTGCATGCAGAATTCAAGATGTCATTGTTTTTTACCGCTGAGTAAAACTCTAATGTGTATATGTTCCACACCTTTTTTAACCATTCTTCTATTGAGGGCTGTTTCCAGGTTCTGGCTATTACAAATAGTGCTGCTATGAACATAGTTGAACAAATGCTTTTGTAGTATGTTCGGGAATCTCTAGGGTATATTCCCAAGAGAGGAATTGCTGGGTCCTGAGGGAGGTTGACTCCCAGTTTCCTGAGAAACCGCCACACTGATTTCCACAGTGGCTGCACAAGTTTGCATTCCCACCAACAATGGATGAGTGTTCCCCTCGGGTGCATGGGGGAGGGAGGGTTGTTGGAAGGGGAGAGGGTTAGAGAGAAGGGAGTAGGGGAGGAATGGGGGAAGCTCGGTGGACCGGGATGGGGGGGAGGGAGGAAGGATGAATATGGGATTAGGGAAGAATATATTTCAACTAAGGGAGTCATTTTAGGGTTTACAGGAGACTTGATTATATATGGGATCCCAGGTCCAAGGAGAGATCCCCAGATTGTTCTCTGGACAGAGGAGAGGGTGCCTGAACTGGCCTTGGCCCATAACCATACTGACGAATATTTTGCTTATCACCATAGATCCTTCATCTGGCGAAGGATGGCGATACAGACGGAGACCCACATTGGAGCACCGGACTGAGCCCCCCAAGGTCCAAATGAGGAGCAGAAGGACGAAGAAAATGAAAAAGGAAATAAGGACTGCGAGGGATGCTATCACCCACTGATACAAGGGGACGGATCTAATGAGAGTTTACCAAGGCCAGCTGGATTGGGACTGAACGAGGACGTGATCTAACCAGATTCTCTGAATTTGGCCGGATTCTCTGAATGTGGCTGGCCCGAAGTCTTTCTGAAAAGCCATTGACTATGACACTGGGACTTGTTTCCTCTGCATACACTGGATTTTGGGGATCCAGTCTGTTTGGATACTCACCTTCCTGGACCTGGAGGGAGGGGGGAGGAACTTGAACTTCCCACAGGGCAGGAAACCCTGACTGCCCTAAGGGACGAAGAGGGAGGAGGGGAGGGAGTGGGGGGAGTGGGAGGGTGTTGGGAAGAGAGGCGGAAATGGAAACTTTTATAATTTAATAAAATTACTTTCAAAAAAAAATAAAGGGATAGTAGTGGTTTAAAAGATCCTTAAAATGTTAGTATTTATAAACCAGAAGATGGTGGTGCACACCTTTAATCCCAGAACTTGGGAGGCAGAGACAGGCAGGTCTTTGTGAGTTCAAAGCCAGCCTGGTCTACCAAGCAAGTTCCAGGGCAGCTAGAGCTGTTACACAGAGAAACCCTGTTTCACAAAACCAAAGAAAAAATAAAGCCAAAAAAGCAAAACAAAAAAGTTTGCCTTTATATATACAAACATTATATACATAACAATATATATATTACAAACTACATATACATACATATTACATATCTAAGGCACAGGCATAAATTATTCTCTTAATCTTTGGAATAAAGAGTTTAATATCTCGAGGAAGGGCAATCGTCAATAGAAAAAAAAACATATCTTGCAGTGTAGTAATCGTCTCTTAAGGTTAATTTATTCCTTCAAGCAATAGGAGCCATACTGTGGGACCACAATTGGGATAAGGAAGAAGAAGATATCGTGACCAAGACTGTAGGAGTCTGCCTAGTTTCATGTGGTGCTGGGTATCAAACTTGTGTCTTCCTCACTTGTTGAGTGACCTCTAGCTGCTGGTTCACTTCCAGAAGCTGTGTTCTTTGTATGATCCAGGTTATCAGGGCTACAAAGCAAGTTTGGAAGCAATGCAAATTTCTTAAGGGTCTCATAAAAAGAAAAGTCCAAGCTTGTTTGTGGTACTACCTTCTACTCCAAATATCACTGAGAATAAAATTGTCTGTGTGCATGTGTAAATGCATTTAAATGTCTGTGTGTGTGGAGGCCAGGGGACAACCTAGTGTGCTGTCTCCTAGGTACTCTGCTTATTTTATTTTAGAGACAGACTCTCTTACTGGCCTTGCTTATCAAGCAGATTAGGTTAGCTGGCTAAATAATGAATCCCGGAACCTACCTCTTTCTACCTATCCAGATTACAAGTGCGTCCAATAAGACTGGGTCTCTCTGTCTCTCTGTCTCTCTAAGATAAAATAAAAATAAACAAAAATATAACAAGCCAAACAAACAAACAGAAGAAAAAGAGCCAAAGAAATCACACACATATAGACACAGAGATATACATGTTTGTACAAACAGGAATCCCATAAAAACACAAATCCGGAAGCCATAATACACACATAAGGGACCACTAATATATATTTAAAAGTCCTGATAAAGCATAATGAGATAAACAATCTCCAAAAACGTCATTGAGTTCTTTTGTGTTGGTCATCTACCGCTGGGCATGTCTGGCTGTAGGTCTCTGTGTTTGTTTCCATGCTGCGAGAGGACATTTCTCTGATGATGGCTGAGCAAGGCCCTGATCTGTGAGTACAGCAGGAAGCCATCAGCAGCCGTTTGATTTGAACTAGTAGAGTTTCACCCTATGTCCCAGGGCTATTTAGTCTCAGGTTCTGGGTCATTCAAGCAGTGTCAGTTTTGGGTTCCAAGACTTTGGAGGCCAAGGCAGGATGATCAAAAGTTCAGGGCCAGTCTGAATACACAGAAAAGCTCTGGTTCCTAGAAGTCGTGAAGAGAAGGGGTGGATTGTGTGGCTGGATGCTGAATTGTATAGTCATATCACACAGCACAGAACAATAGAGTTCACTTAATTTAGGTTCTGTTTAGTTTATAAAGGATTTGCATTGTTTTAATAGTCTTTCAATCTTTCGCCTTACAGATGAAGACTTTTAAAATTCAGATGATTCTTTTATGAATTTTTATAATAGAAAACTAACGGTCTTGGGATTACAGCCCACCATGCCTGCCTCCAACGAGGAGACGTCCGAAAGCGAAAGGATACTAATACTTACTTTATAACACAAAACATAAAATTCAGAGAACCAAGCACAGTGGTGAACACACACCCATAGTCCCAGTACTCAGGGAAGGAGGAAGAAGTCATCTGAGCACAAATGTTTGAGGCCAACCTTGTTAATACAAGAACTCCTTTACCTCACTACCCACCAAAGGGAGACACAGCTATGTTATGGGTCCCATGGATAAGATAATGTGGGGATCTGCACTCTCTGGGGTGCCTTGCCTCCTCAAAGTCAACAAATCTGACTGGCACAAGCACCCTGGGACTGTTGAACATTTCTTTAAGTGTTTTTCAGTCATTTGTGAATCATCTTTTGTCAGCTCTTTCTGTTTGCATACGTACCCCACTTTTAATTGGGTTGTTTTATTGATATCTAACTTTTTTAGTTCTTCATATATTTTAGATATTAACCCTCTGTCAAATGTATAGTGGGTAAAAATCTTTTTCTATTCTGTAGCCTGTAAACAGACACTGCAATTTTGATTCATGACCATCCAGACCCAAATAATCACACAGAAACTATATTAATTTCAACACTGTTTGACCAATGACTCTGGCATATTTCTAGCAGTTATTACATCTTAAATTAACCTCATCTTCTACACGTCTTGTTCCCAAGGCTGCTGGCTTGTGTCTACTTGACTCCACCTACTCTCTCTCTGTATCTCTGGATTTTCTTCCTGGCTTTACTCTGCTAAGTCATTGGTCAAAACAGCTTTATTCATCAGCCGGTAAAAGTAACACATATACAGAAGGACATCCCACATCATCTTTTCTTTTCTATCTAATTAAAAGGAAGGTTTTAATTTTAGCATAGTAAAATTACATATATAAAACAGTTACCAACTAAGAATTATAGTTACAGTATTTATATTTGGCAAATTAAGGAAAATATGCTATCATCTATCCTATCTTTGTAAGTCTAAAGTTTTATATCTAATTTATCTTTTATCATAACTAAGGAAAACTTTAATTATAACTATCTAGTCTTCAACTCCATCAATGACCCAAAAAGGAAATAATATTAACCAAGCAAGCAGCTTCCAAAAGATGTGAGAAATGACAGAAACAGCTGGCTGCCTGAACAGTCACCCAAAGTTCCTCTGCAAAAACGGGGTTCCCATCTTTGGCCTATAGGCCTAGCATATCTGACAGACGTTTCTGTGAAGAAAGGCATTTTGTGTCCTGCTTCTCTAATTAAGACAGATTACTACCAGCAATTGAGACAGGGACATTTTCTTGTCCAGTGGCTTACTTTTGCCACAAAGAAAGTAAACTCCATGTGGAGTTTCTTCTATGCCCATTATTTTTCCTGAAGCAGATTGATGCTGCCAAGAGCAGACATGTCTCATTGTCATAAAAAAGAGCCTATATTATTAAAACAGTTTAAATGTCATATTCTGTAGATCTCTGAGTGTTTGAAAATGGCCTGTCTACCTAAAATATGTCTTTGCTTAAAAACATTTGCTATGTTAAGTCCTGAGAGAGGTAGCTGTATCATTCAATCTATGCATCACAGGAAAATGCAGGGTTGTCTCAAGTCCTGGCTTGAGTGGTTTGTGAGGCTGGATCATATCAGCTAGCCACCTCGAAACTGTTCTGAGAAGTTTGCAGTTCAAAGTCAATCTTTAAGTGGTGCTATCAGTTAAATTACATGATATGAACCAGGTGGAATTGTTGTTGTGGAGCCCCATCTTCTTCCTAGCAACTTCAAAGATTACTGTAGGAAAATTTATTGTTCACCGTGGAAAACTTAAGCATTATTTATACTAAATGGAAAGTTTAAATTTCAATAGACATATATTCAAAGAATATTCAAAATATATTCAAAGAATATATGTATGTAACAGAAAGATTAATCCTGTTTTTTAATCGACTGTTAGTCTGTGTCTTTTATTGGAGAATTGAGACCACTGATTTTGAAAGCTATCAATGAGCAGCAGTGTTTGTTGACTCCCATGATTTTGTTGACTCCCATGATTTTGTTGTGTGGTATGGATCTCCACACCATCTTTTGATTTACTGTTCTGGGATTATTTATTTCTTTGTTTTCTTGAGTGTGGCTAATTCAACTGAAGTTTTCCTTCTAGTGCCTTCTTTGTGCTGGATTTGTAGATATATGGTGCTTAAATATGCTTTTATCATGGAATGGTTTTCCTTCTTCATCTATTGTGATTGAAAGTTTTGCTCTGTAAAGCATTCTAGACTGGCATCTGTGGTTTCTTAGAGTTTGTAAAACATCTATCAAGACCCTTCCGGCTCTTAGAGTCTCCATTGAAAAGTAGGATGTTATTCTAATAGGTATGCCTTTTTTTTTTTTAACGGTTCTTTGTCTTTTACCCTTGCAGCTTTTAAAATTTATTTTTTGTTCTGTACATTTATTGTTTTGTTATTATGTGTCATGGGGACTTTCTTTTCTGATCTGGATAAGCATTTCTTTAGAATAGGGAAATTTTCCTCTGTAATTTTGTTGGAAATATTTTCTGTGTCTTTGCCATGGGTTTCTTGTTCTTATTCTGTGTAGATTTGGTCCTTTAATAGTGTTCCAGATTTCCTGTATGTTTTCTGGCCTGGGATTTTTTAGATTTAACATTTTTCTTTGACTAGGGTATCCATTTCTTCTATCTTGTCTTCAGCACTTGAGATTCTCTTTGTCATCTCTCATGTTCTGTTGGTGAAACTTGCCTCTGAGGTTCCTTTTCAAGTTCTTAAAATTTTCATTTCCAGTTTCATCTCAGTTTAGGTTTTCTTTAACGATTCCTTTTTACTTTCATGCCTTGAATTATTTTCTTCATTTTGCTCCACGGTTTGTATGTGTTTTCACAGACTTCCTTAAGGGATTCATTCATATCGTCTTTAAGGTTTGTGGGTAGTTTGAATAGGAATGGCCCCCATAGGCTCATCAGGGATTAGTACTACATGGAAGGATTAGGAGGTGTGGCCCTATTGGGGTAAGTGTGGCCTTATTGGAGGAAGTGTGTCACTAGGAGTGGGCTTTGAGGTTTCACATGCCCAAGTAAGCCCCAGAGGCTCTTCCTGCTGTCTGTGGATCTAAATGTAGAACTTTCAGCTCCCTTTTCAGCACTATATCTGCCTGCTTCCTGCCATGTTGATAGTGAACTAGACCTCTGAAAATGTAAGTAAGCCCCAGTTAAATGTTTTCCATATAAGATTTGTTATGGTCATGGTGTCTCTTCTCAGTAGTAGAATACTGACTAAGACAAGACCCTTGAACATATTCATAATTGTTATTTTGAAGTCCTTGTCTTTTGCTTCAGCTATATTGCATTTCCTGGGGCATATTATGCTTTCTGGTCTTAGTGGAGACATACTGTCCTTGTTGTTATTGATTGTGTTTTCATAATGCTGCCTAGGCATCTGGGTTTGAGATGATTACAGTTCTAGCTGTTGATATCTGGTCTTCTTTCTGTTGGATGGGTTTTCCATTCCTTGATTTCTGTGGTCCTTCCTGGATCTTAGAAGAGTGTGGTGGATGTGGGTTGCCTAGTAGGGAATGTTTCTAAGTTCTTGTTAGGCATGGATTCTGGGGATCCTTTGTGGAATATTTTTCTAGGTATTGGGGGCTGTCATGAAGCAATGTGGATGGGCTATAAGGGTGGAGCTGAAAGGGTCCATGCGAGGGAGAAAAGTTGGGTCTGCCAAGAGGACCTATGGAGTCTCCAGGGAATGAAGAAGAGAGAGAGATGACAGACCTCTGTATATGGTCTGCTCCACAGCTGGAGATGAGTCTAGGGAATTTGCAATTGAGAGTAAGAAGGAGAGTGAGAATCGTTGACCTGACTGTCAGGTTGGCATGGCTAGGGTATCTAGGAAGAGCGTGCCTCTGGAGCTGGGGGCTAAGACAAAGGAATAGGGTGAGGGAGGAAGGCTGTGGGAGAAGGGACTATGCAGTCCCTGGGGATGGATCAGTCACTACATAGACCTAGGTGGCTTAGAAATGACTATGTAGACCAGGCTAGGCTTGGACTATTTAACCAACAGAGATATACCTGCCTCTGCAGGGATGAAAGTGTGCACAACCTCTTGAAAAAATAAAACAAACAAACAATAAATAAAAAGTGAACAGTGTGCACCACTGTACCCTAGCCATGCCTAGGTTTTTAAAAAAGTGTCTGGGAATCAAACTCAGGTTGCAGTACTTTATTAACTGAATTATTGCTCCTTAAATGGGGTTTTAAGGCTTTACATGTTTCTTTCATTAATATTTAGACATTTTATAGAATACCATCCTAATATAAGTATATTATAATGTCTCCAGTGCAGCCCCCCCCATGATGGGCAGGAAGTGTTACAGACGCAGTGAAGTGATTAACAATTTAAGTTTGTAGAATGTTCTGTCATTTGAACCTCTCATGGCCTACAAGTTCTGCAGCAGGTGACACTACTCAGTGGATAAACATGAACAAGGTATATGTGGTTGAATTAATTTGTTGGGAAAAAATATTCTGAAAAATATAGTCACACTCAAAACCCCAGAATAACAATGAGTCTTGGGATCTTACATTGTTCCAGGGCTGTAATGAAATTTCCTTGAGGAAAGCTGGACCACGTCAGAGTCTTTTCTCCATTATGTAGAAGTTATCACCGGAAGCCCTGTAGAGAGAGCCACATGTCTGAGGTTGCATGATGGTTAAAATCATGTACTGGACAGCAAGAAACACCAGCACATGTGACTTCATTATGTCTTCTTTACAATATAAAACTAAAAAACAAAATAAAACCCCCACAATTTATAATGTTCATTAATACTGAAAAAAATCTGTTTGCTATTATTGCATTAATTGAAACTTGGGAATATGCTTATAAATAATACTTACATATTTATGAAAACATACTATCTTTCTATTTGGCCTACAAAGAAAAAACATAAAAACAAAATTATTTCATTAGTTTATAAATATTTTATAAGACAAATTTATTCTTCACCTTGTAAAATATACAGAATAACCTTGGTACTTACAACATTTAAAGTAAACAGTTAGTGTACAATTTAATTATGATGCAGAGAGGGTATGTTCAGAAAGTTGTTCATGGAAAGCTTCAACTTCTTACACATAGATTTTCTAACTACCCTCTGTGTACACTTGATTCAGAAGGGATGGGAAGCTGCAAGGGCTAACATCCTCTATCAGCATCTCTTGCTTTGGACTTACCATGCTCTTTCAGCTTTCGGGTTTAGGCATGCTTAGTTTGATTCTGCAAGCCTCACCACCTTCTTCCTGACACACAATACTTCTCAGTAAGGCAGTTCAGTCATTGAAGCTGGCCCCAGAAAAGACTGCCATTTTTTAGGTTGTATATCACTGATTATACAATCAGAATAAAAGAGGTAGGTTTTAAATTTAAAAAATTATTTTATGCTGTATATGGTGTTCTTCCTGGGTGTGTTCCTGTGCACCATGTATGTGCAGGAGTCTATACAGGTCAGAAAAGGCAACAAAACCCACAGAACTGGAGTTACAGATGGCCGTGTCCTGCCATGTTGGTGCTGAGACTTGAACCCAGTCCTCTGAAAGAATAGCCAGTGCTCTTAACTATTGAGCCATCTCTACAGCTTCAACAGGTGGATTTTAAAATCATATTATGGGAAGAAAAAGAAAAAAGGTGAAATTTTTGTCCTGACCAACCCCTAGCTTATCTGTTGAATTTCCTTATAAAAATGGGTGTAGTGTACACCATTAATCCCAGCACTTGAGAGGCAGAGATAGGTGGGTCTCTGTGAATTTGAGACCAACCTGGTCTACAGAGTGAGTTCTAGGATGGCCAGAACATTAAACAGAGAGACCCTGCTTCAAAAACTGAAAAAAGTAAAAAGCAAAACCAAACAAAATCCTGGTCCCTCTTGCATTCAACTCTTCTGCACAAAAGATATAAATGAAAATTAAGACAAACAAACAAAAATCCACAAAATATTGAAAAAATTCAAGTTATAATTATTAATGGGAACATCAAATTTATTATGACACAGAGAAAACAAACCCCCAAGGCCTAGGGAGGTGTGGAGGAATGGGGAGTACATCAGTCGTTAAAACCTTTCTTACTATTCTCCTCTGGAAGGGAAAAACCAACACTGCTCTGAAAGCTGCTGTGATCAGTTGGAACTCAAACTGGTGCTGTGCCTCTCTCCAGCCTGACAGACTTGAAGACAGCAGGGGTTAATTTGTACTTCCGACTTTCCCACGAACACCTTCAAATGTTGTCCACAGTCTAGACATACACAAACTGAAGCCAAAGATAACACAATCTTTAAAACTGACTGCTTGACACAGTACCTCTGAAACTAGGGACTCAACCAAATTATTCAGAATGAAACAGAAACAAAGAGAGTGAAAAGCTGCACAGGAACTGCACTGGACGTCCTGAGTAGAGAGGCCCTAACAACTGTGCAGCATGCTAACATATGTTCTATGGAATTATATTTTGTGTGTTCATTCTACAGTGACAGCTGTTTAACCCTAGACTAATCAGAACTAATACCAAGCTCAGACTTTAAAGGTTAATTCTCATTGAAACATTTAAAAGGCTAAGAGAGGAATCCTGAAGTCAAGACCAGTCTGTGCAAAACAGTACAACACTGTCAAAAAAAGAAAGAAAGGAAGAAAGAAAGAAAGAAAGAAAGGAAGGAAGGAAGGAAGGAAGAAAGAAAGAAAGAAAGAAAGAAAGAAAGAAAGAAAGAAAGAAACCAAACAGGAATGCAAGAATGACAAAAACAATAAGAAACTTAAGAATGGATCCAGGTGTGGTGACAGTCACACTTAATCTCAGCACAGAGGCAGAGGCAAGTAGATCTCTCTAAGTTCAGACCAACCTTGTCTACATGGTGAGCTCCAGGTAACCAGGGTTACACAGTGAGATCTGATCTCAAAACAAAAAACGGAACCAAACAAACATAAGAATGAAGTCACAGGACATTTAACTGACTGAGTTCAAGACACCTAAAAGGCACAAACAACTTGATCTCACCTGTTACAGAGGATCTCCCTGATAGCTTAAGGTAATAAATGGCAGCCAAGAACCAAAGAAGTAGACTGAATACATAGACTGAGCTAATATGGCCGATTCTCGCTTTTAAACTGCCCTTTGGCTGTCACTGGGAAGCTGGACCAACAAACTGTTCCTTCCACTAACTGATAAGGCTGGTTCTTGGTGCCGATGTTGGATTAAGTACTAAGACTGATACCACTTACCCACTTTCCTTCTGGAAAACTGAACATATGCCATAAAATGGTAATTGAATGCCTGAATTGATGCTAAATCTATAACAATTTTCTCAGACAAACACGTGTCTGACAGAGTGATGTCACTGGGGGGGCCACTGTGTGCTCTGTGTGACTCCCTTCTGGGAAGGATATAGCGTGATGTTTTAACCACTCATTTAAAAAATTTAAGATAATTTTGACTTAAGTGTTACATAAATAGCAGAATTCATGTATATCCTTCATTCTTCCTCCACTTAAAATAACTTGACAGAGTATCATCTACATAAAACTTTGCTTGTTTGTTTATAATTAAAGACAGGAAAAAGGGACCAAAATATTTTTTCATATAATTTTTTGACTTTTAGAGATTATAACATAATTACATAATGCTTCCTTCGCTTCCCCTCTCTAACCCCCAATGTACCTCTTCTCTTTGCACTTTTAAATTCATAGTTTTTTCTTTAATTATTGTTAGATTCTCTCTCTCTCTCTCTCTCTCTCTCTCTCTCTCTCTCTCTCATGTGTGTGTGTCCCTGTCCCCAACCATATAAATATAACCAACTCAGTCTGGATAATATTACTTGTGTGTGTGGTTTCCAGGCTGAATATTTGGTGTTGGATAATCAATTGGTGTGCTCTTTCCTGAAGAAGACCATTTCTCCTGCTCTCGGGATTCCTTAGTCATCTATGGTTCTTTGTCTTGTGAAATTTCCATCACTAAATTGCTTTTAAGAGAACTGAGCACTTAGAAATCTTACCTTCCACAGAGAGCACCCAGAAATTACCTTGTCTGATGCTGGCCCATGTATCCTTTTCCTCCCCTAACGTGAGCTAAACTGTATCCATTTTTCATGATGCCTCACTGAGTTTTCTTTGGGCCAAAAAAAGTCTTCTTGTATGGGGATATTTTTATTTTCTTTCTCCAGCTCTCCTTACTTCTACCAAAGGAGACAAGATTAGCATTTAAAAAAAATCAGATTTCCAATATGCTCTTTGGTTTTATTCTTACAACGTTCTGGTCAAAACTCTAAGTAAAAACTTCAGAAAAACCCTACTGATTACTCAGAGAATATTTGTAATGATACCAGACAGCAATCTTGAAACTTAACCATCATTTTAGTTTTACAGGATCTCATAGGAAGAACATCGCCCCCATGACAGCTGAAAGTAATTCTAGAAGACGACATCCCCTCTTCCAACAAGCTTTGTCCTCAGGGTTAGGGACATCAATTAGGGGCTAATTATATAGGGTTGGGGGTTGGGGTGGAAATTATATAGGCTTAGGGATCTTCTTTTTTAAAAACGGAGATTGAATGGTGTAATAGGTAGATTAGTGTGAGCTTACTCACACTCATAATAACAGTGAGTAATAGAGTGAATACTTGTGAGCTACTATTTATAGATAATTCACATTGGTATAGATTCTTGTATATTGATACAAATTCAAATTATATTTGTTATATTTAATATGATCCTATTTTGTTTATAATATTTGTATACTGTGCAAAGTTATTTTGTCATATTGTATGAATGCATGCTTCTACTTCTACTTTAGACATTTTTGTATACTGATACAATTTTAGGATATATTTATCATAGTGCACTGTACATTTCTACCTCTGATTAAGATACTTACACATTGTTTACATTTTGAGGTCATTTTCCTCATTTACTGCACAGTTGTTTAAAGATTGTTTAATATTCTAATATGAAGTCCTCATCTTTAAGTTATATAGGTATTAAATACTATAGGTCAATAGTTATCCATGTCAGCCATACTTGTAGTTAGACTAATCATATTCTTTAGATACATAGAGTTTGTATTCCACATAGATAGGTAATCTTCAACTACTTCAAAGAATTAAATATGGCATTTAAATAACTGAGGGTTCTGTTGATGTGAGATCAGTGCTCCTGGCAGCACCAATCTATTCCTGAGAGAATGTTGAGCACCAAAGACACTCCACCTGGAGCTTGTTTTCTTCTTGGCAAAACTGGCCTTTGGGCAAAAAACTTCTCAGGCCTCGACCACTGACAAAATGTACAGTTTGTATTGGACAAACAGAATACAATAACAACAACAACAACAACAAAAGACTGCCAAACCTTGGCAGGATAGGATAAAATTAAATTTTCCTGCCTCTGAAAATGGTCTGTCAGTTACTCTAGGCCTTAGCCAAAGTTGGTTGCTCCAACTTTGCAAATGAGACTTTGGGTGATTGCCTAGGTAGCCTGCTGTCTCTGTTATTTATTGCACCTTTTGGAAACTGCTTGGTTGCACTTCCTGCCTATTCAAGTAATATTATCTTCCTTCTCAGGTCTTTGATGTGGTTGAAGACTAGATACTTTCCTCTCATGACTTAAGCAAGACAGTGCTCGCTTCGGCAGCACATATACTAAAATTGGAACGATGACTTAAGCAAGACATTTCTAATACAAGACTTAGACTTCTTAGGATAAAATAATTATTGAAACATTTAGCACATGTTTCTTGCTTAATGTTATTTATGCTAGTTATAATTTCAATTCTTATACTTTATATCTGTTCTTTGTGTATATAGTTTTATATTGGGTTTGAAACTCTATTATTTAGATAAAAGAGGGAGGTGCTAGGGAAAATCCTTAGTCCTTCAGCCAATGACCTTTGAAATGCTGGACCATTTTGGGTGTGGCCTTGAGTACCAAAAATGCACGTGTTTGCTCGCTCTCTTGGATTTGGATTCGGTTCTTGTTCCCTGATCATGCAGAGGACTGTGATCTGTGAGTGTACCTCTAAATAAAGAACCCTTTATTATACTCAATTCTGAGCTAGCATGGGACTGTTCTGTTTGCATTCACCTACACATTGTCCTTATAATACACACACTCTCTTGTTGAAACTTCTTGTCATTCCGGGTGGTGGTGGTGCAAACCTTTAATCCTGCACTGGGGAGAAAGAGGCAGGTGGATCTCTGAATTTGAGGCCAGCCTGGTCTACAGAACGAGTTTCAGGACAGCCAGAGCTACACAGAGAAAGCCTGTCTCAAAACAAGAAAACTAAGTCAAACAAAAAACAAACAAAAATTTCTTTCACACATGCTTATCCTGGCACAGTCCCATGCAGAGCATAACTAGAAATGTGGTGCGAAGACAACGGGATGGAGTGCTCACCCTCAGGAACACAGCATGAACATCCGTGGCAATTTGGAGACAAGAGCTACAGTGCTGCTTTCTGGAAAGTTCCAGTAAGGAACACAAAGAGAGGAGACCTCTACCAAATGACATGCTACACTGACAATAGACAGCCAATGATGAGTCTTCACAGATAGATGTGTCCAGCACAGGGGACTTCTGCTCTGATGAGTGAATAGGACTCAGACAGAACTAAACCCTGGGAAGAACTGGAGGGGAGACTAAGAACTACTTCTGTACATTTCCTAAAACAATACCCTGTGTCTTCTTTACCTAAATTCAAAACAATTTTCTATAATATGAATTTGAAGAACACAGAGTTTTACCTTGTCCTGTGTACTTGTCTCTCACTCTAAGACTTTTGTCTTAGTCACCATTCTATTGTTAAGAAGAGACACCATGACGAAGGCAACTCTTATAAAAGAAGGCATTTAACTGGGGGCTTGCTTACAGCTTCAGAGAGTTAATCCATGATTATCACGGCAGAACACAACACAGACAGTCATGGCGCTGAAGTGGGAGCTGAGAATTTTGCATCTGGATCCCTGTCATCAGGAAAAGGGAGAGAGAGGAGAGAAAGAGAGAGAGAGAAACTGGGTTTGACATGGGCTTTTGAAATCTCAAAGCCCACCCACAGTGACATACTCAAACAGTTCCACTTTGTGAAGACTAAGCATTCAAATATATGAGCCAATGGGGGTAATTTTCATTCCCTGTGCATCCCTTCAAGAGTCATCTCAAAGGGTACCTCTTCTAGGAAGCTTTCTCTTTATCCCTTGAAAGAGAAAGGATCTCTCTCTCTCTCTCTCATATCTATAATAAAAGAAAAAAACCCACTGCTTAACTATACCTTGGAGCAGTTCACACATCTGGTGCTGAGACTCTCCTGCCTCCAGAAACTATTTCTAGAATAAGATATTAAATGAAAGCCAAGAGTGGTGTTGCCTGTAACCTCAGCACACAGGGAGAAAGGGGTGAGGCAGAAGGACTGTAAATTCAAGGCCGGTTTGGGCCTAAAGACCTCAAATATAAAACAAGTTGATATAGCTTGATGATAGTCCTATGTCTGAACTGAAGGTTACATTTTCCTTTTAATTATGTATTTTGGAAGAGCTTGATTTTTTTTGATACCTGAGCAGCCTGCTTCTGAATGACCAACCACTGACAACTTGAGTTAGTTCTTTCTAGCCATTTTTAAAACTGGGCCCTCTAGGTCAGCTAGAGGGAAATGGATGTGGGTTCCCTCTGTTGTTACGCATACCAAGACTTACTCATGAAAAAATGACTCTTTCTTTAGTGGATTTTGAAGGATTTTAATTTTTTGTTGTTTTCTTAGACAGGGCGTAGATACATAGTCCAAAATGGCCTGGAATCCATGCTCTTCTCTGCTTTAGTCCACCTAATGCTGGAATTCTAGGCAGGTACCAGCATCTAAGGCTAAGAATCCAATTATTTTGAGACTTTATAGGCTGAAAAGGAACTATAATTCTTCCCTGTGGATTGTTTTGCAGTACTCAACATAGACTAGGGAGAATTTGGTACCTCACCATCTCCTTATCACTCAACAAATCTCAGACAGGTAGAAAGAGGCAAAGGAATCTTGTTCTTATTGAACAGACCTTGTGAATTTACCTAAACTCTCTGTGTAAAGATCACTCTATAAAAAAAAAAAAAAAAAAAAAAAAAAAAAAAAAAAACAAGGAAAAAGAACTCACCACTGGCTTAGCCTGGAAAACTAAAAACCTAGTTCTTGATCTGCTTCTTATACTCCAACATAACAATCTGTTCACTGACAGATCCAAATTATGATGTTTAAACAAAAGGAAGCATTCCTCAGAAACTTGTGAAACTATTTCACCTTTACCAAAAAAACAACCTCCTTACCTCGGGCAGAAGGGACAAGTGGTAGTGTGGAAAGTCCTGTATATGTGTTGTTTTTGTTGGTTAACGAATGAAGAAGCTGGATTGGCCTGTGATAGGGCAGAGGAGAGCAAGGTGGGAAAAACTAAACTAAATACTGGTAGAAAAAAGACAGAGTAAGGAGACTCCATGTAGCTGCCAGAGGGGAAATATGCAATCTGCCAACTAGAACCTTGCCAGTAGGCCACAAATCTCATGGTAAAATATAAAATAGTAGAAATGGGTTAACCAAAGATATAAGAGCTGGTTAGCAATACATTTAAGTGATTGGCCAAGCAGTGATTTAAATAATATAGTTTCTGAGTAGTTATTTTGAGTCTGAGAAGCAGGAGTAAACAAGCAGCTTCCTACAACAAAGTGGTTATCTGTGGTGCCCTGTGTATACCAAAACACATGCTGGCCTCCATGAACTCTCAGTAGCATAAGTACACATTTCAGGGTCCATGCTGGCATCCTGGCTCTTCTCACCCTCCACTCCAAACTTCTCCAGCTCATGGGCTTCTATGCCTACCCCCTACTCATTTCTCCTTATAATCCTGCTATAATGGCTGTATGTACTCTTTCTTTGGCCCACACTTTCTTTCTCTTCTCTCCTTCCTTTCTCACTCTACTGCTCTTGCTTGCTCCTGACCAGGCCCAGTCTACTACTTCCTTTTTCTACTCTGGATTCCTCCAGATGTTTCTGACTGTTCCCTCCCTCACATCTACAGTAAAAACCATCTGCTTCACTACACCTTGGAGCAGTCATGTCTTTAGTGTATACATCTGAGATTGAGACTCTCAGTTTACACACTTACAAGTTTGCCTCTGTTGTGACCCCACGCCAATGACACAGGGGCAATGTTTTCTATTGTACAATACATACAGTATTATCTTTCTATTACCCCTCATATAAGTCAATGACATTAATTTCATTTAAATATCATTTAATTTCAAATATTATCTATTAAAATAATAGATATTAACAACCACCAAGCTTTCATTACATGCCAGATACTGTTTTGAGCTCTACACATACCATGCTATTTAATTTCCAAATAAACTTCACAGGTTGGCTGTGTAATTATCCTTGTTTTACAGCCAACAGAACTGGAGTACAGAATGGTGAAGTAGCTTGTTCTTTCCTTCTATCTATCCATCTCACCCAGAAGGGACTTGAAGGGCTCCCAGAGTTATTGTGTTAATGTGGCATGGTGACTCACAGTAGTTTTGGAAGAAATGACCAATTGTAGACATTTCCCCCTTAATTATATTGAAGACACAGTAGTTCTATTGCTCAGAGTAAAATTCTACTGAAGTTGGATGGTCGTGGCACATACCTTTAATCCCAGTACTCGGGAGGCAGAGACATGCAGATCTCTGTAAGTTTGAAGTCAGCCTGGTCTACAGAGCGAGTTCCAGGACAGGCTCCAAAGCTACAGAGAAACCGTATCTGGAAAAAAAACAATAAACAAAACAGAAAAAAGTTAAAAAAATTTCTTTACTAGAAACAGCTGCCTTGGTTTCACTTCTGCGACTGTGATAACAAATCCCCGTGAAAGCGAAAGCAGCTCTCTGCTCTGCTCTCGGGAACGGGTGTGGTACGACCAGTGCCGAGAGGCTGCTGCTGCCTCTTGTCATGAGAACATGATCTTGTCTGATGTCATGAGAACCCTAGAACTTCAAGACAAGGAAACCCTGCTGAGAAAAAGTACAACGTTACTACTGAAGAGTCCAGGAATAGATATAGAAACAAAGGGTCTGGTCCAGGAATATAGAAATATAAAGTTGTAAGCCCAAACACATTTTGGGAGGAAAAAAAATAAAGCTGGCAGCCACTGTTAACCTTTAACAAACATTTTCTGCCTTAAGAGCAGACATCCTGGCAGTCACTGTGTACAGAGGTCAACTTTTAACAATTGTGTCCTGCCTCCCAGCTTCCCAGCTAGGCAGGTACTGCAAAGGTTATTCTAACTATTGCCTCTATGGGGCCCTCTGCTTATATTTCATTAATTTTTAACTGTCCACCTATGTGACTCTACTCTCTGCCTTGCATTTTTTCAGGGACAATGAAAAGTGACTGTGTCAGCCACAGACTTTCACAAACATCATAAGATAACATCCTATAACCAAAGGTAGTAAAACTTAAAATGTAATGTAACTTTAAGCCTGACCTCGAGGTTGTAAAAGCTCTTTGATCCACAGCTGGTGCTTGATTTTACTATAAGAGGAGGTTCAAAACCAGCCCCCCTGGCCACAGCGAAGAAGCCTGATCTCTGGCTGTGGTCACAGCTCTAGCTGATAAGCTTTGTGTGCCCCATGGTGATTTTTTTCCTCTGGAATAAAGCTTGATTCTTCTTTAATAGACTTTGGCAGTCTGTCATTCCATCATTGCACAATCCCTGCACCCAACAAGGGGTGAGTACTAATTAAACAGTTCAACAAGAGTTTTAGCCTGTTTACTTTCAATTCTGGTTCTTGAGTGGAATTTTCCAAATGGAACTGGCAGAACTTCAATCCATACTTTATAAACCATAAAATATGCAGGCAAGCTAAGGGGAACTGTAAGCATGCCGTCACGTAGTCGCTTGACGCTCTTTTGTTGTTGTTCTGGAGCTCAAGGGCCAAAATGGAGTCAATACGGGAGATGATGTTGATATTTATCCCTTATAGAACTTTATATATTTATCCTTTATACCTCCTATATATAAAACTGCACTAATAAAATAGCATTTTGTCCATACATGCTACACCATGAACACACATTGATAAGAGTTTTCAGTATTACTTTAGCAATAAAATTGTGGTATTGTATTGAAAGACCTGAGAAAAGGGAATGACATTTTAGCTCATATGTTTACCTAATAAGGCTTCTTACACTACGTTTTAAGTATTTTCAAGATCATACCACATTTTACCATAGCAGCTTCAGTTTAAATATGAAATTAATATCACACACAACAAAAGGAAGGTATTATCTTTCTGTGAGCAATCAGCTCAGTCTGCAGTTATAAAAACCCTTTAGGTGTTTGTCAAGATAACAAATGTCTACATATTTTGGTAAGCTCTGCTAAGAATTTGTTAAACTTGTTAAATGAGTTCATATTTGTAAAGTGCTTAAAATAGTGTTTAATAATAATTAGCAGTTTATAAGCTTTTTAATGTAAATTTTATATTGTTCATGAATTGGAGACACAACTTGCTTCATCTGCTTCTTTTTGATAAAGTGCTGATTATTTTCAGTTTTAGAATTTAGTTTTTTGTTCCCCAGTAGAGAGTCCTTCTATGTTCCCCAAAAGAGTTGCCCGAGCAATCCTCCTGCCTCAGCTCCCCTCTCCCTCCATGTTACCACAGAAACTCCTGTCCTAGAATTTAACACAGATGTCTCTGAAGAACTGAGCAAGGTGGCCAAGCTCAAGGCTCACATTGCTTTGTACCTTTCACACTTGCTTTATCAGGATTAAGGGGGTAAATCCATTAGCATGAGTCTTAATATCTCTAATGCTAAATACTAATGAGCTATAGTCCTTTCAAAGAGCTGTTTTGGGAGGCATTGGTGTTAGGAATATTTCCTAACACGAGCTCATTGCCAATGCAAAATTCCCAATCAAGCCGAATCAAAACAAGCCGAATTAAGAAATATCCAGGTTTAATGGGAGTTCTGCGCTCTCAGGTGGTCCTGAGGGGGAACTGGGAAGCCGTGGGAACGCGACCACCACTGGGAGGAAGGAAAAGGGACCACATGTTTCTCCTTTGGGGATCACTTAAATACCCTGGGGAAAGTGGTCCTGATCCCTGGTCTGCTGGGATTTGGAGCCCAGAGCAGGCCTGGGGGCTGGGATAGATGCGAGGGGCAGGGGCCTATGCTCCCAACTTGACATCCCAGACTCTCTGGATATAGGGGTGATAGAAAATTGGAATGGTGATTATGACAAACACTTAGGCTCTCTTTGGGAACAAAGGGCGTAGGCTCAAATCTGCCTACTTCCTGCAGGCATAGGGCGGTGTGGGGAAGGGAAGGGCTAGGTGTCCATGTTTAGTGAGAGGTGTGGCTGGAAAGGCATCCCATGACCTGTCATCCAGGAGAAGGCATCTATCTGTTCCTTGGGGGATATGAGAAGGCAGGTGTCTAGGAAAAAAATTGTTATCGCTAAAGATGAGTGTGTCAGAATGAGGAGCAGGTAGGCCCTTCATTGTGGCATCCTGGAAAACCGGAGGGTGTAAGGTCCTGTCTGCTGAACAGACCAAGTGTCCTGAGTAGGTGCCCGCTTGAGTCTGGAGAGATGGTACCAGCATGTGTGTCCCAGGAGTTTGGCAGCGGAGGGGGTGGTGAGGATTACCGTGTGAGGTCCTGTCCATCGAGGTTCGAGAGACCTACGAGTTAACTGTTTGAGGAGTACTCTGTCTCCTGGGGAGAGCGGGGCAGGTTTAGGGGCATTAGGGTCCACTGGTGTGGTGGCAGGAAGACAACTGTCTTCAAAAAACAACCTCACCAAACAAATTTCAGATCAAATTTCTCTCTCATAATGCTTTTCATAATTTTAAATATACATTTCATTGTTCAAATATATGTCACAGTCATTATACAATGTATGTATCTAAAATTTCTGTTTTCACAAACCTAAAGAATTCTTGTGAGTTCCAGGGAGCCAAATGAAAGGATCCACCTTAAATAGGTCAGATACATCCCCCTCAATTCCCTGGTCCTAAAATTTTTTTTCCTTAATTTAACTTGGTCCTCAGGTGGCCAAGTGCATGGCAGGGGAGACAGGGCAGCAGGGAGTCCATGCAGACCCAAAAATCACGTGTTTGTCCTCTGGTAGCCTACTTAAATACCCTGTGGGAGTGGTCCTGAACCCCTCACCCCCGGTCAGGACTTGGCATGCTGGGATTCGAAGTTCAGACCAAAGCAACTCCCATGTCAGGGAGGCTGGAATAGATGCCAGGGGCTGGGGTTACGCTCCCAACTTAACAGTACCATCATTTAAAGACAACAAAATATATATATTCTCCAATGAGGTGCAAAGGTAGTCACTAAATATACAAGAGTTGTAAAAATTTAGAAACATTAACTCTTAATTAAATTAAGATTTATTTTATTTTAAATTATGCATATACATGGAGTTGGTCTCTGTGCACTTGTGTAATATCTTGAAGCAGGAGGGGTTGTGATCCCCTGGAGCTGGAGTTACAGTGTGAGCAATCTGATACGGGAGCTAGGACCTGAGCTCCATTTCTCCGCAGCACCAGTGTGTGCTTTAAACCACGTCTCCAGAACCTCCCTAGATCCACCTTCAGTGTCTTTGGAAGAAACGAATGTACTACAGTAAGAAAAAAAGCTATGAAGTATGAGTTTTAGTTGTTTATTAAATCTATGATTCTGAGACTGTAAAGTAACTATTTTGGACAAAATTTCTAAAATAGTAACTATGCTACTTTCTAGTCACTTGTCTGTAAGAATAAAATCATGTGAACTTGTTTCCTGGGAACAGTATTTTTTTTTTATCTTATTTACTGATTTTGCTTTTTTTTCAAGATAAGGTTTCTCTGTGTCGCTCTGATTGTCCTGGAACTCACTCTGTATATCAGACTTTTCTTGAACTCAGAAATCCACCTGTCTCTGTCTCCTAAGTGCTGGGATTAAAGGCATATGTCACCAACACCGTGCTAAAGCAAGGGCTATTTTATTTCTTTTTTTAAAAAAATTTTCTCTGGTAACATTAAAAATGGAAAATTAACACAATAAAATGGTGTCACGTGAAGGGATTTGATGAAATTACAAATAACCACATTGCCTCCCTATTATAATCTTTCAAATGGGCAGTAAAATATCCCATGAGGTCCTCTATTCAGCTTTTATAAATGAAAAGAGCAGAACACTATATTTCATATGCACTACAATGAAATTTTTAAAGAAGATGGTTTTTTCACAAATGAAGATTGATATTAATTAACCTACCTATGTAGAGCTAAAGCTATAAAAAATTTACATAGAGTTTTAAGATAATTTTTTAAAAATATCAATAGGTATCTAACTGAGTTTGTAATTTGTTTGTTATTTTTGATTTTTGAGAGAAGATTTCTCTGTTTAACAGTTCTGGCTGTTCCAGAACTCACTCTGTAGACCAGAGACTTGTAATTCTGTTTTAAGAATCCAGAACCTTCACTATACAATAATATCAAAAGATCTTTCAATTTAAAAAGTATCAGCTCTGTGTCTTAATATTCCTAATATTTCAGTAAAATTTAGTCTACAAGAACAATAACATTTCCTCTTTGATTTGTTTAAAATGTCATATAACATATGATAGCATATGGGTGTTTCTTTCCCATGTTCCTTACCCTCTCTTCTTTGTGGGACTTTTGTTTATTTGTTTTTCCAT